CTTTGACATGATTATTTATTTATTTTAAACTGTTTAATCCAACTTCAAAACTTAAATGAAAATATATAACAAATAAATAGAACATTTATTAATCATATAACAAATTTTTAAATGAAATTAACATGATGATGATAGAAGACAGTGGATCAACTCACCCTGTAATTATTCAAACCTCTTCAAATTATACAGTAAATTTAGAAGAAAAAAATCATCTAATGTTCCATAGTTCAGTCAAAAAGCTATATGTTAAGAATTGATAGAACTTTGAAAATATCCAAATCATCTGATAAACAATGGACTCACAAGACAGTACATAAATTCTTTGCAGCGCGTTGTAATTATTCGCAATCGTTTGCAACAGCATTGTAATTATTTGTAGCGACATTGTAATCATTTGCAACGATCGTTGCAATCTTTTGTAACAGTGTTGTAATTATTCACACTGTTATGGAGATAATATAATTGTTCTTTGGAAGTTGTAATAAAGCAAAAAATATTACAACAAATAAAATTTTCGTTGTATTTCAAATGACCGTTAGCATTTTTATAGCTTCCATAGCTATATACTACTACCTTTGTGTGAATTTGGTATTAGTATATATCCGTATTAAGGTTTCTGGACCAAATTATTTTTGGAAAAAAATAAGTAGCATTGGCAATAGTTTGGGCTTCTCAATATTTTTACAAGAATGAGCATGAAAATATAAAAAATTTCGGCTATTAATAAAGAATAGTTTGGGCCTATAAAAAATCAATTTTTTTACCCAAAGTATTTCTCCACCACATAATTACACCAGACGAAAAATTGGACTTGACTCGATTTTTTTTTATCAAACAAATTGTTCAAATTCCTTTTTGACGCATTGTTATTATTTTTTTGTCGTGATCTGCATTATTGTACTCACAATAGTAATGTTTTCTTTTGTCTTGCTGGGTTACAAGTACGCCCTATGATAAATACAGAATGGTTTTTTATTATCTTAACTTATATAATGTCATTTGAAAACTTATTAACACCAAAGAGAAAAGGATCCGTATATAAAATTTGTCATGAAATGTATAATGATGCCATGGTTAACTTTGACAGAGAAAGTAGAAAAGACTATTTTTTTTCACTAGTCAAAAAAAGCAAGGAGCTTTCTGAGAATGAAAAAGAATATTGTAGAGAAAAGTTTATTTACGATTTTGAATTACATGATGCGATAAACAAAAAAGGCCAACCAAAAGAATGTAACAAGTGTAAATCAACCAGATATTCTGATAGGTTCTGTGAAAATTGCATCAGCTTGCAATTACAGAGTCTGTTTGACACTTGGACATCTGGCAATAACTTGGTTGATGAATTCATTCAACAATGTCAAATGCTCTCGTCTTTGCCAACTCATATTTTAGAATGGATACCTTTTGAACAATTTGAAGACATTGCAAAATTAACAGAAGGTGGGTTTAGTTCAATTTACACTGCCACATGGACAAGAGGAAAAATATTTGACTATGATGAAAATAACAATGAGTTTATTTATCATGGGGCTCAAAGTATAATATTAAAATCTTTAAATAACTCAAGTAATATAGGAAAACCATTTTTTGATGAGGTTAGTAGTAGCAAGCAAGCTTTTATTTAAAAAAAACAATAATGTGTCATATTAATGTTATTAATTATTTTTTATTTTTTTTTATTTTCAGGCATTGAATTATTGCAAAATTAAGTCAGAAATGATTGTTTACTGTTATGGTATTACTAAATTCCCAGATGGGGCAGTCAATGGAAATTATGCAATGGTTCTTAATTATCATAATGAAGGAAATTTAAGAGATTATTTACAAAACCATCATTCTAGTTTAAAACTTAAAAATAGAATCATAATCCTTAGAAGTTTATGCAATTCATTGTATTGCATACATAAAAAAGATTTAGTCCATTGTGATTTACACAGTGGTAATATATTAATAAGTGGAAGTGGTAGTAGTCACATCACAGACTTGGGATTGTGTGGACCAGTTGATGAAAAATCATCAAATAAAATCTATGGAATTATATCATATATTGCGCCTGAGCTATTTAAAGGTCAAAAGTATACAAAGGAATCAGACATTTATAGTATGGGGATGTTAATGTGGGAAATATTTGCCGGTCACCCACCATTTGATGATAGAGCTCATAACCATTGTTTAATTTTGGATATATGCGAAGGTTTGCGACCACCGTTGTTACGAGAAATGCCTGATGATTATGCAACAATGATGCAGAGGTGTTGGGATGAAGATCCGTCTAAAAGGCCAATCATTCTAGATCTTGGAGAATTTGCTGATAACAAGTTGGAGGAAATTTATAAACACGAAAGTTGGAATTGGAAGAACAAGAATAAAATTATTAAAAGATTACTCAGCTTCTCCAAAAATAATAAGCGTGCAAATAGTGGCAGTAATAATATTAGTAGTAATTTAAGGCAAGCGCATGAATCACATTCATTAGCATTCCATACAAGCAGAATATTAGATGCTGAAATCACTAAATATAAAAGTTTAAAAAGTAATGATAGTTTAATAACTGATCTTGATATTAATTTTTTCTGAAGAATTTTTAAATATTGATTTTAATAAAGATGAAATAAAATTTTATCAATGTTTAATGAAAAATACTAATCATTAATTTTATAACAAATTAAGTTTTAATAATATTAGATTTGCAAAGGATTGAAAGGGTGAGATTGACGAGATTGAAAAATCGGTGAATTAGGAGAAATGGAAATTTTTAATAGCATATTTTCTAATTCATTTTTTAAATTATAAATATTAAATTTAGGTTATAACCGCACAATTGACAAATTATTAAATCATGCATTTTTATAAATTAAGTTTTTTATTTTTTTATTTTAAAAAAATCATATTAATATTATTAATTAATTAATTAAAAACCTAACAAAATAAATAATAAAAATTTAAAAATTACAATTTTGTGTTACAAAATAATAAATAACAATCTAATCTATTATAAAATTTAATGATAAATATTTCTACTTGTTAAATATATATTGTTTATCATCATTAGAATTATAATTTTTTCGCTCCTAATACACCACCTCTTTTCTTTTGTTCTCTTAATTCAGCCATTTTCTATTATATGAAAAAGTCGAATAATAAATAAAAAAATAAATACAAATTAATTAATCAAAAAGAAAAACAACTTACTTGTCGCCTTTCTTCTTTTTTACGATTAAGTTCTGCTGCCTTTTCTTCTCTCGATAAAATGGTTGATGATGATGACGATGATGTGCTATGAACAGGGCTAACTGATCTGGTAGATGCTGGGGTTGAGGTTTTAGAAGAAACGTTCCAATCGTCACCCCAACCATCATCATTACCCCAACCATCATCATCTAAATCCCAGCCATCAGATGGATGTACTAAAACATAAATATAAAGGATGTTATTAATATGTGTGAAAGAGAGAAGAAAAGAAGGAAAAAAGATGCAAGTTATAGTTAGTTACATTTTGATGTTGGATTTAATTTCATCGAGGATGACGCAGCTGTTATTCCTGAACTTGTTGATGATTTGTCATTAATAATAGACAGCGTGCTATTATTACTTGAGGATGATGATGTATTATAATTATTTGAAAGTGTATAATTATTTGATGTGTTATTATGATTTGAAGTTGTATTGTAATTTGAAGATGAAAGTGATGGTGAAGGTAACGGTGACGGTGGTGCTGGCGGTGCAGTAATTTCACCTTCAATATTACCACCTACAATCTTTATTTATTTCGAAAAAAAGGAATCCATATCAATAAATTTATACTTTTTTTGTTATTTAACCCCCGTTTATTATCATTTGTTTACCTTTTTTGTAATAGAAGTTACAGCCCATCCAGCTAAACTTTCTGCGACACTAGCAGCAGAACCCGCAACACTTGATGCAAATGCAATTGAAGAATTTTGTGTAGTTTCTGTTGATGATCCATTACCATTATTAGTAGCAGTGCCAACGTTCGTGTTAATAATTGCAGCGTCAGGCTACATATATGATGATTTATAAAAATCAATAATTTAATAGAGCAATGAATGAATGAATGAGTGAATGATATTTATATTAATATATGTATGTATATACCATCGATTCAACCAATTTTTCTAATCTTTTGATGAATACATCAACTGTTTTAAATGCTTGTAGACGAACAGATCTATGAATAAATAAATAAAGACAAGTTAGGTAGGTATATATACGAGAGGTCCGATAAATGAAAAAGTTTTAGAGAGATGGTGTAGATTAAAAACTGACTTCACTTTATCGACCAAAACTAATGATATACAGGGCAATATCTTGGTCGCACAATCAGTTGCATCGTAATAATCGGAAGTTGCTTTTTAAAAAAAAAATTTTCGTATAATGTTTAACAAAAATCAAAAGATTTAGATAATTAAATTCTGTATGTTTATATTCGCATTTACCAACTAGCGCAACAAGACTTGCTGATCTAGCATAAGGAAAAGGATCTCTTAAAGCTCTTGTAAATGCTGAAACCAAAACTTTTTTTTGTGTCTATATAAATGTGTATATAGGTAAGTTTATGTTGTATGGGGGTTTGGTTATTTGAAAATTCATTTTATATTAATTGATTACTTACACTTTCATTCAAATATTGACTAATTTTTCCTAAACAGATTGTAGTATTTGTTCTGATTCCAGGTTCTTCGTCCAATTGTAATTTAGCCAAATAACGTAATAAATCATTATTAATCACTCTTTCTGATAACTTTAACGAGAAAAAAAAGATTATAATAATATTATGGTAAAAAACAATAATTAATACATACGTACATATAATATTTGCTATACTTGTGATAAATACATAATAAATACCTTGGGAATTAGCAAAAGAATAGATTTGACAGTGCTCTCTCTAATAATTGGTTTAGTATCTGTAAACCCTGTAACCTATTAAAAACAATTAATTTTTAATCAAATGATCTATAAATAAATTTACATAAAAAATTTTTTTTTAAAAAAACCTACCACATTAAAAAAAATCTTATCATTAACTATTTTACTGCTCAAACGATCAATAAACGATCCTAAATTCTCAAGCAAACTCAAACGTATTGCTCGATCAGGTATAGCAAACATTTTAACAAGTGCAGTTACCACTATTTGTTCATATTCAGTATCATCAAGCGTATTCCCTATTTTGATTATGGGAGGTAACACCTTTGCTCCACCTATAAATAAATATTAAATTTTTTTTTTTGCAAAAGAAATTTTGAAAAAAAGGAAAAAAAAATTTTTTTTTGATTTAATTAATTTAATTACCAGAACCAAACTCCAAAGCATTGATTAATTCGGGTAATATTTTGTATTTACAAATATCTTCGGGAATCTTATCAATAGAATCATTTAATTTTCTATATATTCAAAAAAATCAAAAAAAAAAAAAGAGAAATTTAATTTAAATTATAAACAAAATTATCATTAATTATATGTAATTGTTGAAAATTACTTGTAAAATAGATCCTTTTCCTTTTGTTCTTTGATATTCATATTTTCTAAAAATAAATTTATTTGTATTAAGTTATTTTGAAAACATCCACCATCTTCCATTCCTTCTTCAAGGAATTGGGAAATATTTAAACGTATTTTAGGATTTGTTTGTGTCAATTTCTTGAAACTTGAATGAATATTCTAATAATTATTACAATAATGGTAACGATAGAAGATTTAATTTTATGCATAAAAATTATAATAATAATAATAACAACAACAACAGCAATCATTGTCTATTAAATTATGACAATTAACCTGTGGAATCGAGCCAATGTTTGAGAGCTGATTTGTTGATGAGAAAGGACCATTATAAATTTCGTAAATTAAAGTTCCATAATTCCATGAATCAGCTACCCCAACATCAAAACTGACCTCAAATTGAAAAGACGTAATTTATAATTTATTAGTTCAAGTACATTTTAGTATTACGCATATAAAAATATATGAAAATATATGAAAATATAAATATGGGAAATCGGCATACTCTTTCAAAACATTCCAAGAACTTTTTGATATTTCAGGAGAAGCATATTTGGACGAATCATAAACTAAACCACCAAATGTCTGATAATTGTTATTTTAAAATATTAATAAATTAGTTGATAAATATTATGTGTATGATTATTATGAAACCTACATATATGATAGGATTTTCTTCTTTTGAAGAGCTCATAAGTTCAAAACCACCCAATTTCCATTCTCCAGCTTTATTAGTAAATATCGATGAGACACGAACATTTCCATGAATAATAGAACAATCACCATTTAAAAACTTTAATGCACTCTACCAAATTGTAAAAATAATAATAATTAGTAACATTATTAATTAGGATCCAAGTGCAAGGAATTGGTTAAGTCACTAATAAATGAGAATCATTATACATACTGCTACTTTATATAAACCCCACAATGTCAACTCATTAGAATTATTATTCAATTGTGCTTGTAAAGGTGTTACTTTTTCAGTAACGATATAAATATAAGTGTCTGTCTAAAAAGAAAAATATGAATTTATAGTAAATAATGTATTTATATATATATATATGTGTATTGAAAATCAATATAGATATTTTAAGAAAAGTGATTTTACGTCTACACCGTCTATATATTTTAATAAATCAGGATGTCTAATAGTCCTAAATTTTTTAAAGGCATTTCGAGCCAACGGCAACCGATCTTTTTGTTTAACACAATCAAAAGCAAAAATTGATACAGGAGTTCCATCATCCTACAAAAAAAAAGAAATTTGTTTTATTTTTTATTTTACGTTTAATGAAAACAATGTTAATCTTGGGGAAATTTTACTTTTTTTGTTCCATTGTGTAATGACCAAATTGTCAAACCGTCAAACGAATCAAGTTTATCAGTAATGTTATAGGGAAAAGATGGTATTTCTGTTCCAAGAACAACGCGTGATAGTGTAGATTTTAAATAATCCATTCTTAAAAAATTTGAAGATATTATATTAGAATGCTAAATTTGATTGGTAATAATTTTCATAAATGACAATTTGTGGCTTGTCAAAAATTTTGTGTGGCTTCTTTTTTAATTTGTTGTCGTTATATTTAAAAAACAATTTAAATAATCCAACTTATTTTCATTCTTTTTTTTATCCTTTTGTTCCGCTTAAATCACTCATAAATTCCTAATACATACATAAATCTATTTATTCAATATTATTGCGAAAAAAAAAATTCATGGCTACAACAAAATTAGCAAGTAAACTTACAGATTTTAGAACTGCAGCAATAACTAACCATTGGAACGATCCACCCGAAAAGGTAAAAAAAGAACATTTTGCTGATAAAATTATACGAGATGCATAATAAATAATATTTATTAATTATAAATAACATTTGTTAGATATTCAATAAAGAAGTTATTAAACATGATAGACAATATGGAATTTCACAAATTACAGTTATTTTAAGAAAATTATTAAATGATTGTAAACAATTTTTTGTTACGGTAATTATCATTGAGCCAAAAAGATTTTAAATGTGAGATTCTTTTAATGTCCAAGTACGAAATAACTAATCGGAAATTTGATTATTTAAAATTAACAGGGGATTGATAAACGTATTTTAGTTGACACAGAGAAAAGAATAGATTTGTTATTTGAGAAATTGGAAAAATATGAATTACCAGAAAATGTTATTGTGAAATTGAGTCAAATATGTGAATGTACGTTGAAATTTAATTTTTATTGTGCATTCAAGAGTTTATGAAAATTTAATCTAAAAATTTTTACAGGTTTAGAGTCTCGGGATTTTGCTAATGCTTTAACAATTCAAGGTAATCTGATGACAACAGATTTTGAAAAAGAAGGAAAATGGTTATTGGGAATTAAAAGATTAATAGATTTATATAAAAAAAAAGTTTAATTGGTCTATTTTTATTTATTTATACATCTAATAATAATATGTATTAATATAATAAAATTATTTTTTTTTATTTTGAAAATAAAATAATATTTGTGTTTTTTTACTAGTGGATAAAGGTTTTCAAAGGTTGTTCCAACTTTGAAAATCTAATTTGTACTAATTAATATTAATATTATCATTATTATATAAAAACAATAAATAATAATCTATCCAATAGCATATTTTCAATTTCATCAGCTTTAATTCTTTTTCCTTTACTATTGTGAAACAACGACAAACATACTTACTTAATCAACCTATTAATTAAGTAAAAAAAAATGAAGTTCTAACTTACCTTTATTAATACCAATATTTAAAACTTCATCGGATAACTGTGCAATATCAATATCATTTAATGTCTTTTGATTTTTAGATTTATGCAATTTCATCACCTGATGTTCTGCTTGCATGACAACAAGTAATCATTTTCATACCTATAAAAAACTATCAGGCATTGTGAAAAATGATCTTTTCCGCTTTCTTTACCAGATAAGATGTTTACTATAGATTTCATTTATAACTCCAAATTTGAAGGACTATATGTTGGAAATGATAGGCTAATCTTACATTTTAACATGGAAAGTTCTCAATCCTATTAAACAGCTCATAAAACATCGAAACAAGGTCAAAGAACCTCTTTTACCCTATATTACTTTGCATTTTATTACCTGCGGATTCCTGATTCGCAATAACGACTGTATTAAAGTTATATATAATAATAATAATAATAATAATAATACATGATGGCGAAATGGTTTCGATAATCAAGACCTCAACGTTTCAAATCTAACCTATATATATAATAATTTTCTAGAAGTTTATCTTTTAAAAAATAGTGCATTTTTTTTCTCTAATTTCAATGAAGCAAGTAAAAACTAGGAGATATAGATATTTAAAAAAAAGAAATGCTGTTATGGACTTTCAGGTCTTTTTGAATTGATTTCGATTTTTCACCAAGGGCATTTCGATTATAATCAATTCCTAACAATTCTGTAATTAGTAAAACATTAAAATATTATTATCCTGAACTTAGCCTATTGGATTAATTACTTATTGGACGGTTTGTATAGAACTATGTTTGCAATTTCTTTTATTTGACAAACATTATTTAATGTTTTGATTCTGCTAACTTTCAGAAAAATCACCACAAAGTCAGTCGACAATGACGATTATGTGACTTATTTTTTTGTTGGCTATTCTTGCTTTAGTTGATTGATTTCATTTGGCTTTTTTTTCAACGATATTCTTTTTAAATTTTCAATTTCCTGTTCTCCCACTCTTTAAAAGGTTTATTCTTCTCTTCATTCAATAAGGGTTGGCATCGGACATAGTGGACATTATCCGATGTTCAACAGTTGTCAGTTGGACACGGACATTGGATATGTATTGGACGTGTCCACAAGATGTATTGGACAATTTCCAACATTATCATTGATTCAATTGCTCGTAAGACTATATATATATATATGATATTGTGTAAACTTACAAACCTTGTTGTAAGTTTTACATCAAATCAATAAAAAATAAAATCTTTTTTTTTCTTTGATATTTGTTTTGTCTCTTCTCTTCACTGTTCATGAGACCACAGTAACTAGAACTGGTTGGTTCTTTTTAAGGTTTCTACCAATATATCTAGGATTGGATCGATTCAAACTCCACCTCAAACTCCAGTTGAACCGTTGTTTGAATTAATAATATTTGTTATTCTAAAAATTTTCTTTTTTCTAGACAAAAGAATCGGAACGCGTGTTTTTGTTAATTGCGCAAAAACGTACATAATAATGATAACAGCAACTCATTAAATTTATACCATGTGTAGCTTAGGTTTGATGTTTCAAATTTATTTTCTATGAAAATTATCCTTCTTGTTATTTATAAGCTACGTGAAGATAGTAAAGTAAAACTTGTTCCTCAAGATTTGAAATCTTTACGTAATTGACTTGTTGAACTTTAGGAATATTTAAACAAGAATGTCATTCCTCCAGCTGATTTCATATATAGTCAAATATTTATATTCGTAAAGCTATTGCTTCGTATAGTAGCTTTTTTAGGACCTTTGCATGTATCACTAAATACTAGAGAATCAACAATGAAAAATATTTTTATCACTTACACCTCTCCATGGTTGGTAACAGTTATTATTGTGCATTTAGGTAATATTATACCAGCAACATTAGATATTTTGGAAACAATATTTCGACTTTTGACTATAATGTAGCAATTTGGGGAGAAAAATTATGATAGGATGATGATGGCTTTTATCTCTAATGTTCTTCATTGGACATCCCATGTATACTATTTTATCTGAGAATTTAATGAATATTTGGTAGAAAATTTTCATAGCCTAATTTGTCAACATACTGTGGGTAAAAGTTATAATCCAAAAGGATTGAAGTGTGATGCAATACCCATTGAAACAAACAGCTCTTTTCCTTATTGATTTTTTTCAAAAAATTTGGCTTAATTCAACATCTTCGCAATTTACATCACAATTTACAATCACTTCAATTCCCAATCAATTTCATTGATATTAGGACATTATTGGTAATTTTACCCATCTTTTCGATTTTTGTGATAATATATATTTCATAAAGATAATATGAGACACTGTTGCTCGTGGACGTTTTACTTTTTAGTCAATATGTGTGGTAGTCAAAAATATATTTTTTAATTTATTGTTACTATTTCTTAAAATTTACAAATAAATTTTCGAGAACACAAGTATAAACACTTTTTTAACTCAATTATTTAATAAACCGCTGTAATATTAATAATGAATTTATTGCAATATCATTAACAAAATTTTCATTTTTTCTTTAGACCCAGGATTATTAAAGCTAACAAACACTACTGTAGTTCGTCGTCGAACTAAAAACAAAAAAATTATATTAATATATAGTCGATCCCTGTACCCTAAATTTTACAGGGAATTTTAAAAAAGGACAGGGTACATGTCACATGTATCTTGTCTGCGTCATCCCTGTCCCCTGTCCTTTTTGTTATTGTGTGGTGCGACTATATAAATTATGCGTGCGCGTGTTTGTTTATTTTAAAATTCGATCATATACATTCATTCTCTTTGAGATAAATTCTTGGTGTAAAGATTGCATTCATTCTTTAGATCCGAAAGAAGACATAGAAAGAGATGGTGAAAACGTTTAAAAATGGCAGTATATCGATTTTTTATACGTATCTTTGCTATAAATCACTAAATATGTCTACCTTTGTTCAATCAAACGAATTTGCTATTCTTTGGGAATTCTTAAAAAATGAACCGTTGGAACGATCATAATAATCTAAGCTTTTGTACTTTTACAGATGCATGAGCTCAAAACGTTAATGGATCCCAGTTTATTTCGTAATAAATTTAAGGAGTAAACGGATCGGAGAGTAGGAGCTGAACGTACTATAAACAATGTAAAAGATAAATTGAAGGTATTTATTCTAAACGATTTATGCTAGAGTTAATGTAAAGTTGAGCTGTTGATGACCAATTATCAATTTTTTATCCATTAGAATGGGAGTACACCAGTACATGAACGTCTTTTTAGGAAATTGTGTGGGATAGATATCAATAACTTAATATATGACAATACTTTATCAAATGGTGTAATTGACCTCAGTTCTAATAAATTCCAATTATCTGAGGGTGACTTTGATTTGCTTGGGGGAAAGCGGGGATAAGGAGATTAAGTAAAGATGCTTTAATAAAAAATGTTTGTGCCGACTTTGCTAGAAGAAGAAACGAATTTCAAGAAACATATAAACTTTCAGTAGCAGGAGATTTGACCGTAGCTCATAATTACTGGGTTGAGGGAGAAAATGATAGGGAATGTTATTGCAGAATGTCTTATGCAATTAATAAAAACAAATTCTTTACGTCGAATTTCTAGAGGTTTCTGAAAACACACTTGTGGAAGTAATAGCTCGTCTAATCGATGTAGCTATATATCAATTACCAATTAATAGCGAAGTTGAAATGACAAGAAATGAGCGCCAGAGTGTGGCTAGTAAGAATCGTAAGGCCAAATTAAAGAATGGTGCAAGGGGAAATCGACCAGATTTTATGATTCAAGCATTCCTAGGTCAAAAATGGAATGGGATTATATACACTGAAAGTAGTAAATAGAATTGCAACAAAGAAAAAATACTTGACGATCACAACAAATTGGTGAGATTTTGTATAGATGGCGTGTGGAAGATGATCTACGAAAGAATTATATTGCTTTTGGGGTTAATATTGCAGGTGAAATCACAAATTGTGTATATATTTACTAAAATTGATTAGTAATCCATCATTATATCATTAGGAGATAAAATTCTAGTCCATGTATTAATCAGGAAAAAGAGGCGAAATATTATCTTCCTGATGCTGAAGCAAAAATTCCCTTAAGATCTGAGTCTGTTGAGGAGACAAAAGAATTTATTCACGTTTTAATGGTTATACGAGTAAGTGTGCTTTTTAGAACTCTCCCTCCAGTAATCAATAATTTGTTAACCAGAAAAAACATATTTAGAACGACTTGATTGCAAATTTGCAATGTTTAATCAATAGTCTCAAAAAAAGACAAAAAGGTAAGTGATGCAAAACCTTCCTCTGCGTGAAGCCACACTTTTAGAATATTATATCCTATATCTCTTTTTATTTTCTCCTTATTTTTATATTGCGTATGCTGCGTAGGATTCGTGGTGAACTTACCTTGAGATTTCGTCTATTGTTTCTAGATTTGCGAGGCATATCTATATATCAAAGTATAGAAATATTCAAATTTTTTTCTTGCAAATTGATCGGCATGAAGAATCTTCACGCGTGTGATTTTTTTATTTTGAATAAACCTATCCCTTATATAATTATCGAACATGTCTTGATTTAGTGAGACAGCGAGTTTTCAGACTTTGAGGCAGAAAATACCAAATTAAAACAGAATATAGAAGAAATTGCCAATCTTAGGATCGAAATCAAAACTAAAACAAATCATAAAGCAAAATCGAACTACTAATGACACTTTACAAATACCTATTCCACCGTCAATTAATGACTACTCTGATGAGGATGATAGCATTGGCTCCGTAAATCTAGAGCAGACACAATATGCTATTTCTCCCGAAGTTAATTCTAATAATATCTATGAACAGATAGCTGATACATCAGATAACTCACCAAATTCTGATATATGTCAAGTCAGCCCATTTGTACAGATCATAATTGTCGGAAAAGAAACTTCGAGATAAGAATTGATACAAAATTATCTTCTTCTTCTGAAGCACAAAGTGCCATTTCTTCCGAAATAAATCCTACGGCCGAAATTTCCCAAGATAATACATCCACTTGTGATTTAATCGAGCAGAGCTTAGAGTTGAATACTCATCTTAAACTTCTGCTGAATCGGGGCAAATGCCCATTAATCACAAAATTCCTTATTAATGCGTGAGTTATTAACGAGAAAGGCTTTTCAAATTTTATATCTGATAAACGAATTCTCGAAATATGTTAGACAGAGGTAACCTAGATGAAAGCATCCTCACTGAGATTCCGGGTGAATCAGAGATTTTGAAGCTTTGCTTCCTCTGCATCACATTTAGCTCATTTATTCGACAAGGCTAAAAAAACTGGACAGAAAGATATTTTATGTTGATATTGTTATAGTGAGGAATTCGAAAAAAAGGAAAAAGAGGCCAGAGATATTAGCTCAAAAATGAAATTAATGATTAAATGGTGAGAACACAGATTTACGATGAAATGGAACCGTATACTCCTGATACTAAGAGAGAGTGTTTGCGTAAGAAGATTCAAAAGGCTAGAAATATTAATCAAGCAAGTTACATATAGCGCTGATGCTATTTCTAGTTTGCTGATGTTCAAATCCAAAATATAATAAATCATTTTTCAAGGAGTCTATTGATACGAATGAATGTCGAAAAGTGATTGGTGTGACTGAAAACAAAGAAAATTTGCCTAATAATTCTTCTGGCTCAATTAATTTATCGAAAACTAAGGTAGATACATCGGTCTCATCTCAAGCCTCCAATTCATCTAGTTCACGATTTAACAAAAATTGAGGTAAGCGCGCCAGTCAAATTTCAGTCTAAAAAAAACCTTTCGCCTTTCCCAAAAAGTTTCAGAGGATTCAACATCTACTTTACTTCAAATTGGAATGGTTGGTTCTATTTATCAAGATACTTCAATATCAATTCTCTCTACACAAACATCATTTGAAATTAAATATAAACTTGATTTTTATCGTCAAAAGCTCTAGTTTCAAATACTGGAAAGTCAACACAAGGACTTACTATAAATTAATCTTTGCAAAATTTTCAGAATTTTCAGATCATCTATCTAATTCAGACTCTATGTTAATTCTTTTTTTTTCAAGATTTTTTTTTGACGCATCTTCTAAACAATTTATTCGAGAATTTCATACACCCAAAAAGAGTAATGAATTTGAGAATAATCTTTATAAGGAATTGATTATCACGCACTAAGTTTATCATACATAAAAATTTAAATGAAATTTTACGTGCTATTATTATGGTGTATAATATTCATTTAAAAGATTCCTTTTTACATTTTATAGAGTCGTTAACGGGACAGGTTGTAAATCCTTCCCTCAACAAATTTCTAAAAATGGTGGTCAATTATTTATTTAGATGATCATTTCTTTAATATAAACAATCCCAAATTCTAAAAAAAATCAGATTTTAAAATGTCAGAGAAGTTGTTATTTAAAAATATAAATTCCAATCATTTCACCGAGTGGATTCTAATTGGAAGCTTAGTTTTTGGTGGTTGTTGTAGTAATGTAATATTTTTAGAATTAATAATTGGGTTAGTAGTATATCTAAATGAAAAATTTCATTATTTTTATTGTTTTATTGATTGAAATTATTGATTTATTTTTAACATTAATTTGACTTATTTTATTTGATTGATCAATTTTAATTTTAAACTAATTTTTTTTTTTTTAGGAAAATTAATTACATTTGTTCAATTTTTGTTAATTTCTTTTGAAGGATTACTAAATAATCTCCAACTTTCGCCATCACCACCATCATCATCCACATTAATTCCACGTTTAAAACCACGTTCTATACCAATATATCGTTGGTTTATCTTGGTAATAATGTTTTTTACCGTATCGATCCTAAATAATGCTGCATTAGGCTATGAAATATCTTTGCCATTTCATATCATTTTCCGAAGTGGTTGATTAATAGTTAGTATGATTTTAGGTCGGGCTTTACTTGGTCCTCTCATAACCGCTGCTGATCTAATGAAATTGTCATCTTATAATAGATATACACTCAAACAAATTGTGGCAGTAATCATGGTAACCTTTCGCTACATTAAGTCCTGCAAATAATCAACCCATGGTAATCAATAATTTATTCTTTACTTAATTTTAAAGTCAATTTTTACAAATCACGGATTAATCTGAAATCTGACAGGATGTCGTGTTTCATTATCATCATAAAATAGCAAGATAAAAATTTTGGCTTTACAGCTGACTATGTATTTGGAATAATGATTCTTACAGTTGCATTGGTATTATCTTGCTTTATGGGTTTATATCAAGAAATGAATAGATCAAATGATTGGCGTGAAGGATTATTTTATACCGTAGATGAATTACTTCATTATTATTATTATTATTATTATTATTATCATTATATTAACAGTCTCATTTCTAATAAATTGATTTATATTAGCATTTTCTTGCGCTTCCTTTATTTTTAATATTTTATGATGACATAAAAGTCAAGTTTTATTATTAAATGAATCTCTTTATGTGTCATTAGAGGAAATTGTCAATGATCTCTCTGGTGGCATCTTTCAATGTAATCCATAATACTACATCTTATTGCGCTTTACCAAGAACTTGGCTATACTTGATCATGAATGTGCTTACACAGTAAGTAAAGAAAGAAATATTTTATTTTTTTATTTAATTAATTTTTTTTTAAACTTCATAGTTGTAACACAATTCACTGTTTTTAGATATCTTTGTATATCAAGAGTTCATCGACTTTACTCAGTTTCACCAGCATTAACTGTAAACCTTGTGCTAAATCTTCGTAAATTTATCTCCCTGGTTTTGTCAGTCTTGTTTTTTGATAACGATTTTCATATCGGTATGGGCATAGGGGGTACCTTTGTGTTTATAGGAACTATTTTATATTCAATCGGAGGTGGTGATAGGTCAAGTAATTTAAAAAAAGTTGATGATGAAATCGTTATTAATGAATATTTGAAAAACGATTCAAGGAAATCAGAAATTATAAATTTAAAAAAAAGGAAAAAGGTTAAATAGAATAATATTTTCAACCGATAAAATATTTATTTTTTCTTTATTATTTTTTTTTTTTATAAAATAAAGACATATTTTTATTTAAACAATCATTACCATTTCAACATAGGGGTCTGGTACGTTTCCCTGACAACCGTTTCCCCGACAGGACGCTTCCCCGACAAGACGTTTCCCCGACAGGACATTTCTCCGACAAGATTTTGTTAACTATATTTAATATTAATTGGCTAATAATGACTTAAACAGCTTAGTTGCCTAATAAATGGGTTAATAGACTTAAATGGTTTGATAAACTTAGCCGGCTATGGCATGACAGGGAAACAAATAAATATTGTAATACAAAATGTATTTGTCAGGGAAACGTCTTGTCGGGAAACGTCCTGTCGGGGAAACGTCTTGTCGGGAAACGTCCTGTCGGGGAAACGGTTGTCGGGGAAACGTCTAGGTACCCAACATAGTACTACTACTACTACCATCCTATCAATTGCCACCCTATTAATTGCCCAAATCCAACTCACTCTGTTCTAAATGACCAAAACTAACTAAACAACATGTGGTAAGGTTATTTTCTAAGTGAAGAAGCAAAGGATTGGTTTTAAGTTTTTGTCAAGCATAAAAGTTTTTGTTTGCATTTCTAGAAGTATTTGAGTGTAAATGTAATGTGTTAAAGTTGTTTGGCAAAGTATAAGTTGTTAACAATTAACCAAATGTAAAGTACTAAAGTCATTAACACATTTTTTATTTGTGTTAAAGTAATTGCTGTAAACATACAGCTGTTAAATAAACAATTTAAGGAGTCTTTGTAAAGAGACCAAATTAATAAAGCTTTAAGTGGTCAAAGGAACTTTTGCCACTTTACATAAATTGTACCATAAAGTGCACTTACAGATTGTCAAAAATTTTCTAAGTACAAAAAAGAGGCAGTAAGCAAGAAAATTGTTAGATAAATTCATAAAATAACTTAATTGATGAGTATGGAATATAAAGCTTGCAATTCAAATTTATCAGAGGTGAATGTATATAAGTGCTTGAATATAAAATACAAATAATAATAATTACTACAATAATAATAGGCATGGTAATAGGTCACTTCAATTGCAAGGAAGGATTTAGACAAAATATAAAGTATCTAATATTTTTAAAAAAATGATAATAATAAGAGGTATTTATAATAATAAAAAGCCTAATGTAAAATTCCAACAATCAGATGAATAAAATTTATTTGTAAATCTAAATATCTAAATCCATTTGACTAGAATCTATAAATGTAATAATTTATCACATAATAAAAATAATATTAATGTTGAAATTGATATTTAATTTTAAAACTAATAAATAAATAATAATAATAATAATTACCATTCAAATTCATTTGATTAAAATCTATAAATATGATAAAAATAATATTAGTATTAACATTGATATTGAATTTAAATCAATAATCAAATAGTTACCATTATTAGTACTACTTAAATCAATTTGATTAGATTCTATAAAATGATTATTTAAAAATAATATTAATGCTGATATTGAATTTTAAGATTAATAATCAAATAATTGATAATTACCATCATTGTTGCTAATAATTGTAA